AAAAGTTATGCCTTGCCGAACTTTTGACACTTTACAACTTAAAAAATAAAAATAAAAAATTAAAGGCCGGTTCAGCCGGCGAGGCGGCCGCTGAGGAGGCCGATTCCGGCCTTCCTCGCCGCAGCCAACGACACGATTTTTGCAACACTGATATATAAAATAGATATAGATTAGAATAGGAATAGTATTACACAATTTTATAATATTACAATAAAATTTTAACCCAGAATTATTGTAGAAATCAATATATTTTCTTAGGAAGAGAGATTTATTAGGAATTGGGCGGGAAGTTAAAATTTCAAGATTTTGTTTTTATATATAGTATAGATAGTATAGATTGTATTACATTATTTTATAATATTAGAATAGAATTTTAACGCAGAATTATTGTACGAATGGGAAAGTAGAAATCAATATATTTTATTAGGAATTGGGCGGAAAGTTAAAATTTCAGGATTTTGTTTTTATATATAGTATAGATAGTATAGATTTATTTTGTTTTCTCCCGATAGTTTATTGTCCTAAGTAGCTTTATTAATATTATTCTACTTTTGGATTGTTTTTATTTAAATTTGTTTATTATTTGAATTTTGTTAGTCCAATAATTCTTTGATCCTAATTTAATGATAATATTATTAATTTTAGTAGTACATGCATGTTCAGTAGGAGTTTAATAAAGGTAGATTAGTTATATATGATCTCTAATAGAATTATTATTATTATTATTATTATTATTCTTCCAAGGCTGAACCCCAACCCTAAGGGCATATTATTATTATTATTATTATTATTATTATTATTATTATTATTATATAGTAGTTTTAGCTAATAAACTTGTGCCAAGCCCATCCATCATCTAAATCCAAACCGCTAGCACTAACGGCAGATGAAGAAGCGCAGAACTAATACACCGGGTCTAACGAACGAGAAAATAGCCGGAGCAGATTACGGGCTGGACGCGGAAGGTTGGACTGAGCAGTATAAATGGCAGGCTTGTACGAAGTGAAGAGATCAGTTTTTGCCCCGGAGATTTCCGGTGGTTCGCGGAGGCAGCGGCGGAGATTTCCGTTCGGCGGCGGATGAGTTCTGGCGTTTGACTTTCCCAGGCGCAACAACCAAATTCTTTCCGGCCGAAGAATCTTGGCCGCAGCAGCTCTAATTCTTCCTGGTTTCTCCTTTTCTTCAATTAACCAAGCAATTTATTTGATTCTTTAAGACTTAAGCACACTGCTACGTGGATACTAATTGGAATGTATTGTCAGATTGCTAAGCCATTGCTTTATTAAATTTGCTTTGGGTTGCTTTAAGCTTTATTATATTTGTTTAATTAAATTTACTTTTAGCTTTATTATACTTGCTTAATTAAATTTGCTTTTATCTGTTTAGCTTTATTATATTGGATTTTAAAGGTTAGTATATAAATGATTGGTAGTATTAGTAGTGGTATTGAATTCACATTTTTAAATTTATATCATTCTTTTAGATATAAATTTGTTCCTTAGTTTCTAATTATTTATTTTCTTTAAATACTTTTGATTTAATTATTCTACAATTCAGACTTCTTGTTAAATTTTTTAAATTTATTCCCTCGCTTTCAAGTAATTAAATTGCATCGTACAATTCTCTGTGGGTTCGACCCTTGCTTTGCACTGCACTTGCGAGGACAAATTGTCCATCACAGCGTACATGTTCAACTCAATAAGTATTGAAATACGGAAACTACTAATCTTGATTCACGCTTAATAAGTTTTATATTTAGATTTTAGATATGTATATTATACAATAATAATATAATTAATTTTTACAAATTTGATTTTTATATTTTAGGAAATGACTAACTAAAATGTAAATGAAATCAATTTTATTTATTACATATTCTAATATAACACACATACACACACACACACACAAGTGCAATGTTAACAGTAATGAAAATAGATAACGGAAGTTATAAAGGTATGGATATTTTTGTCAAAAAAATTATATAGTATAACTTTTATAGCTTAATGTATCAAAAAATATAACATAAAATGGACATAAATAAAGGGTATTACCCCAACCTTCATTCAGACTTATTATATTTTTAGAGTATCGAATTTATTCTTCTGATTGTAGTATGATACACACACACACACACACACACATATATATATATATATATATACATATATATACATACTACTATCAGGAATAAGTGTAATTTAGAGGGGTCTCACCTAGTAGAGAGTTAACAAGCAACATCAGTTATAAAGCAAAAGAGAATGATAAGCACCAAAGGTTCTTTTTCAAGAATTACTAAAACCTTCATTGTCAAAGAAGTCACGCTTTGTTTCAATAATGAAAGGATGTTGGACTCCACTCTTCAAGCCGCCACCTAACAAAAACTTTTAAGCTTTCCCTTCTAGACTACTCGAGATTGGAGATGTGATATATCCCTAGGTCGGGAAGCTACTTGTGCAAATTGGGCAGCATTCTACCTCTTTCACTTTATTATATAGTTTGATTGATCATTCTCATTATTTTCTTTGTATAAAAAATATTAATTATATTATTATAATTTAAATTTTTTTTAAAAGTAGTTAGGTTAGACTCATTTTTAATCATCAGTGTATAATATATTAGTGGTAAGGTTTCTATGACTCCTTGAAAAAGCAAGAAATGTTGTAAAAAACAAGCTAAGCATTGGCTTTTCATATTTGATGTAAGAAATTAGCTTTAAGATAACTAAAAAATGAAAATATTTAATGTAAGAGAAAAAGAGATAAAGAACTTGTTATATTTTTATTTTATTTATAGGAATGGGATACCTGTATATACAAACTATTACATCAAATGCCTCCACTGAGGTTTGAACCTATCACCTCTAACCTCTCACATATGGGAGCAATTTGTTATATTTGATAATATCTAATCTAATTTAACTCTATAATAAAGCAAGAACTTCTTGCTATTTTCGTTTTCCCGCCCAGTAAAAACGATGCCGTTTTGCCATGATGTAATCAAAGATAATAATTTAATGTTGTTCACATTAAATATGTACTTTTCTAATACTCTCAGCCGTCCCTTTTATTGTACAAAACAATAATTTTAAAATCCTTTGTTACCAATGTATATAACATCTGCCTAATTGAATGCATTATGATATTTCAAGTAGAATTCAAAATATACATTGGTAAATTAAAAGGCAATAACTACTTATCACACACACACGCGCACACGCACACACACACACGCGCGCACACACACACACACACACACACACATATATATATATATATATATATATATATATATATATATATATTGTTGGAAAAAATAGTTTTGAAGGGAAAAGTGAGCTTTGTCCCACATTCCACATTAGTTTAGAAAGAGGATTTGCCCCCCTTATATACAAGAGCTCTTTTAGAGCTTGTAGAATTGTATAGCATAGAGGTTCTCTCTCGCGCGCACCCCGGAGGGGGTGCAAATCAAATTCCAACTAGAAACGAGATCGGAAGGCTTGATTCAAGCCCGAGCTCGTGTGCGCCGGCACCTACGGGCACGAAATTTGGCTGGCGGTTAAGTTATGCCAAACCTCGGAATCATTTTCCAACCAAGGCCGAGACTGTATAAGGGCCATGGGCCGGAACTTCCATGTTTCGACCTGGTGGTCGAAACTGGAAGTTTCGGCCAGCACGAACCTGTCCGTTTTGTGACCGTTGGGTGTTCAATTCTACTATTACAGAATTAATTCCAATTTTTAATCTTTGAATTGAAACCCATGTTAATGGTTGCTGTTACAGGAAGGTTAAGGGGTGCCCTTAAGTGCCTAATTAAAAGCTATTTAAATTCTCCACCCCTATATAAGAAGGAGTTGGGCAGTAGAGATTAACACACTTGAAGAAACTGTCTTTTTGCCTCAAAAACTCTCTGCTTCTACTCTTTCTTTGCCTACTGTGTTCATAGCCTTGTCTTGTTCGCTGGATTCATTTGTTTGGGTGCTCAAACATTGAATCACAAGCAAGTTTTATCTTAGGAAGCCTAGGCCACAACGCTCCTATCACTTTTGGGAGGTGGCAAATAAGGTTTTAAGGAAAGAGTGATAGCTTGACTCTTGCAAAAACCCAACACCAAACACTAGCCAAATTCTCCATCTTTCCTTCCCCTATTTTTCCAGAAAAATAATAATCTTATTTTATTTGATTATTATTTATTTTTTACCAACGGATCCAACAGTCTTAAAACCTTATTTGTTTGTTTTCCCGTTGGTGGTCTTCTCCGAATTTCCTTGAAGAAAATGGAGCATCCCGTACTGCCAATCGATGGGGAGGAAAATGTTGTTGTGGACAACAATGGAGAAAACGGCAACAATGTTGCTAATTCCCAAGCTACTCCCGTGAACGTTGGTTCACAATATGGTGAGAGTACTGAGGGATATATTCCCATGTCTCGGCTACCTTCGGTACCGAGTGGTTCGGCTGAAAAGCCGGAGAAGTTCACCGGTGTTGGTTTAAACTTCAAGAGGTGGCAACAAAAGATGTTGTTCTACCTAGCAACTCTCGGCTTGGCAAGGTTCTTGTCCGAGAAGGTTCCACTAGTACAAAAAAAACTATCTGAGTCTCCTATAAAACACTTTCCGAGTCACCTATACAGGTGACTCAGATTCCAGAGCCTCTGAAAGTGTTTAGCTTTCCGAGGCACCTGTATAAGGTGTCGCGGAAAGCTAAATAAGCATTTTTTATTTTTTTTAATACAGACTTTCCGAGGCACTTGCTGTGTGACAGGTGCCTCGGAAAGTCAATTAATAATTTATTATTAAATACTTTCCGCGACACCCACGCACAAGTGGGTGTCGCGGAAAGTATTTTTTAATTAAGTGTATCCGCGACACCTCTTCACAGAGGGTGTCGCGGAGAGGTGTCGCGGATACTCTTTTTTTTTTTTAAATAAATAAATAAATAAAAATACAACATTTCTCAAAGCGTAATTAAATTCGGAAAACCAGTAGAAATTCCTAGCCCTACTTCAACTACTATTTGAAAAAACAGAATTGGTTTACTCACTTCAAAATCACATAAGCACAGACTACTAGTGTCCATTAAATCATTAATCTACTAATTAAAATCTGGAACTAATTTTATCATTTATGTACTTCAAACACTGCAACCTTTTAGTACTTGCAGCAAAAACACACATCTATCTGAAATCAAGCCTTGTTTCACTCACTAGAAATCCAACAAGTCTTAAATTATTACAAAACAGATGACATAAAATACAAGAGTGCATTTCAAAATTCAAAATCAAGCTTACCCCACTTCATCTTCTGATCTTGTAACAATCAAGCATGAATCACATAGTTGAAGATTTGCAGCAGATGTTGTAAGGAATGGCACTAGCAATCACAAAATATCAAACATTTTTAGTCGCGTGTATGGCAAAACAATCAAAAACCCCAACATTATTAACTCACCCTTGCAATTCTGACAGACAATGGCTTCCTTTACAGGAGCCGGCCCAATAAAACTCAGAATTGTTTCTTCCAATGTCTTTAATGAACATTTCCTGCACTCCTTAACTACATCAAGGAGGCTCTTCCCATTTTCAAGGCAGATATACTGTGATGCTCGCCTATATGACTTACATGAATGAATCTCAAATTTACAAGGAGGGACAACCTAACAACAAAAATGTGAGAGTACTGAGAAATTTTTACATTCATAGCAGTTAAACTATTGTCAGAGGACCAAACTGAAGTTTTAAAATAATAGATACTCACTATATGGATCCCTTGCACATCCCACAAGAACACAGAATTCCAACATCTTTAATTATTCCGCGAAGCAGAACTCCCTAAATCAAGGAAATATCTTAGTCCCAAAGTAAACATAAGCAAGAGGCCAAATCTGTTATATATTAAAATTGTGGAACCAGTTGGTTTAAGCCCATGAACCTGGTGTACAGAGGTTTATATGGTAGCCAGATCCTGAAGAGTTCAAATGGCATTTAACCAAGCATTCTATGTTGTTAGACATCTGCTAGCATCATAATCAGTATTCTATCTTGGTTTAGGATGCAACATCTTGTTCCCAACTCCACACTGGCAAATCTGGTCTTCAACCATCGGTTTCTTACTTCTTCATTAAATGTAATTTTGTCCTATACTACCAAGCCCAAAGTGTTTTTCTCTAAAGGGGCATAGGGAGAACAAATAGTGAAATCCGGATTTGGCTTTTCTTCTTTGTTGGGACAAAAAACTAATTGTATCATTACTGAAAATTTTGACTTCATTATAATATGATTACTATAGGAAACAAATCTCTAAGCTGTGCACCAGTCAGATTTAACTTCTGATTTTTAATTTGGAGGTCTCATATCTTTTTGACACTTTTTTTAGAATTGGCAGACATCCCTTTTGTTAAATTCAATCATTTGCATCTGTTTTGAATCAAAAGTTTATGAAAATTGTGTAAGACTCCCACTTTTTCAGATTGTTAGAATTCATGCAAGATAGCAACTAAATCTCCCTTTGGGGTACAATGTGTACACAAAGAGAGACACATACATAAGCTCTCATGAAAAGTCAAGCAAATTATGTCTTAAAAATTGCTGGTCATTTCCCAAATATAGAACTGTTCTTTATATAAAAAATTTCTATGCTCAAAGTTCATAAAAACAAGTCCTAATGCATTGTTAAAATCTTCAACAGTTTCCTATTGTTAGCAAAATTGAAAGAAAACATCTTCCGTGAATATAGCCAAACATGAAAATAAAATCAGAGGTTATTTTCAAGACTATATATATATATATATATATATATATATATATATATATATATATATATTCATGTTAATATATATCACATCAAACAATAAATAAAAACAAAGGTTAATATCTTAAATTTACTTCCAAATGTGTTAATAAAAAAAAAAAAAAAACTATATTCATTAGCTTCCTATTAACCAATTTTCTCATGAGTTAAAAACAAGCTTCACTTAAGACTTATTTCTAAGGGAGGTGTATTTCAAAAGCAGAGAGACCTCACAATCATATAAGATTAAGGCTTTCTTGAATGAAATTTGAGAAGCAATGCGATCTAAGTACAGAATCACAAATCAGAAGATTGGATTCAATGTAGAAATATGCGATCCTTTCATTGAACTACTTACTGTGGTATTCGCAGAAATTTTGAGATCATATTCTCATGATTATCGATGCCCTGAACACAAACTTTGCTCAGACTTCCCAGCCTGACCTCGTATTTATCATTAAGAAGGATACTGCGAGATTGAATATCCCTACAAGGCCAAGATGAAGAAAATGATTAACATTAATGAGAAATCAGAGAGCAACGCAGCCTACCTAGCAGAAGAGAAGAGATGGAATCCGCTGTCATTTCTAACCGACAATTTCCTACACTTTTAACTACTCCGTATTTAATTTCTGCTACCAACAAGCTAACAATCACTTTCATCACAATCACCTTAAATAACACTTGATTGCTCCATCTCTCTATCCCTGTTGTATATACATTATAACCCTGAAATTCAAAACATAAAAATAAGTCAGCTAACCATCTTTCCAATACTTGTTACAGGTATTATCACTGAAAAAATATATTAGGAGTTACCTTCACTTATATGTTTTAACAGCCTGCTACCATCTTCAATCTTATAACCAATTTCAAGCCAATTGGTGATATGATAGATGTTGCAATATGCAAGAAATAAACAAACCCAATTCTGGAAAAAAATATCTATTCATGTCTGTCTGAACCTCAAAAACGAATACCAGATTCCACAATATCATGTTCAAAACCATTGCTGCCAGTAGATAAAGACTTTCTTCAAGGAATGTACACCAAATAGACAACACCGGGTGACCACCTCCTGAAGCCTCAATAACTTGAGCAACGCAGATGAACTGTCTAATCCTGTGAAGTTGCATATCCAATATCTGTTGAAAAATAGTCCGGATTATGCAATGCGATAAAATGTGCTTCATCCATATCCTTCATCTGCTCTTCATCATACCATGTTACTGCATTTAACCAGTTTATTATGTGTATTACAGTAGACGTGTACAGGAAAAAGGATTGTACATGTATAAAGCAGTGTCTAGCAATCAGAGAGTGAGATAACATTAATGAGAAAAAAAAAAGTTCAAAATAACATGGAGTAGGCACAACAGATTTCTTCCTTTATATTCAAGGCCTAACCTTTTTCAGTATAGAAAACGTTATAGTGATAGTAGTGCATAAGAAATATTATGATACCTGTGAATAAGGGGAGGATAGCATTCATGGTTTAAGTATGACAAAGCTTCTGCAGTCCCAATTGCAATTTTTAATCTTGTTATCCAGTCCAAGGATTGTACATCTTCACCTTCGGAATTTGATACCATGTACAATAGTGATCCAGTTCCCGGCCTCCGCCTCTTATTTTCCCCAGGAAATGTATACACAAATAGATCTGATGAACTTCAAAAATAAATAAAAATATATAAATATAAAATAAATTAGGCAAACTTACCGTCAATGTCGCCGGTGGCGAGGCGAAATGCGTCGGCGGCGGCGCTACTGCTGACGGACGGCGTTGCTGCTGTTGGCGGCGAGGAGGCGCGCGGTTGGCGGCGAGGAGACGACCAGAGGCGGTTGCTGTGGCTGACAGACGGCGGAGGAGCGACGATGAGTGACGATGAGCGACGAGCTGGAGCGAATTTGGGGATCGATTTGGGGGATTTTCAGATCGATTTGGATTATTTGGATTTTCATCAGATCGCGACAAGTTAAGGAAAAATGAAAAAGAAAAATTGACCAGTTATCGGCGGCACCTTCTTGAGAGGGTGCCGCGGATACCATTATTATTATATTAATAATAAAATATTCGTGGCACCTTCCATAGCGGGTGCCGCGGATTCTCTTATTATTATTTTAATAATATAATATCTGAGGCACCTTTTATAGCGGGTGCCGCGGATACTCTTATTATTATTTTAATAATATAATATCTGAGGCACCTTTACCTGGTTGGTGACACGGAAAGTTTTATCATTTTCTTTCTACAACACCTTCTTTGTAAAGGTGTCTTGGAAAGTATGTCTTGTATTCTCAATTTTGTACTAGTGTTCCCGAGTTGAAGGAACAAGATGCACAATCTGTGATGACGGTTGGCTATTGGAAGGATTCGGACTTCCTTTGCCGAAACTACATCCTGAACGGACTGTGTGACACACTGTATGATGTATATCGAAAGATAAACACATCAAAAGCATTGTGGGAAGCTTTGGATCATAAATACCGAAGTGAGGATGCCGGCTCAAAGAAATTTGTGGTTGGACGATTCCTCGACTTCAAAATGGTTGATTCAAAGACCGTGCTAAGTTAGGTAGATGATTTGCAATTAATCTTTGATGAGATCCGTGACGAGGGCATGGTGTTAAGTGAAGCCTTCCAAGTGGGATCTGTGATCCACTTGTTGCCTCCAGGTTGGAAGGACTTCAAGAACTACCTTAAGCATAAGCGAAAGGAAATGAATCTGGAAGACCTGATCCAGCGACTCAGGATTGAGGAGGGGAACAGGACGAATGATAGGAAAGTTCCTATCGTTGTTGGCGCTAAGGCCAACGTTGTGGAGCACAGTAAGAGCTCCAAGAGGAACAAGAAGGACAAGCGAAAGCTAGGTCCGAAAGGTGGCGTTACCAAGAACAAGTTTCCTGGTGAATGCTACAATTGTGGTAAGCCTGGCCACAGAGCATCTGAATGCAAAGCTCCACGAAAGAAGAACAAGAGTTCTGAAGCCAATGTTGTTGGAGAAAGTAGTCAGAAGGAAGTCGAGATTAGCCTTTCGGCTATGGTGACCGAGGTGAACCTCGTGGGCTCAAACCCTCGTGAATGGTTCATTGATACCAGTGCAACCAGGCACTTGTGTTGCAATCGAGAGATGTTCAACACCTTTGAAACCGTTGAGGGTGAAAAGGTGTGGATGGGAAACTCTGCTCAGTCTGCTGTGGAAGGCATGTGCAAGGTAGTTCTGAAGATGACTTCCGGGAAGGAACTGACGTTGAACAACGTGCTGTATGTTCCGGAGCTGAGGAAGAATCTTGTGTCTGGCTCACTGTTGAACAAGCATGGCTTTCGCATGGTGTTCGAATTGTCCAAGTTAGGGATGTTTGTTGGTAAAGGATATGTAACTGATGGGCTCTTTAAGCTCAGTGTAATTCCTGTTATCAATAAAAGCAAAGTTAATTCTGTTTACTTGCTTGAGTCTTCCAATTTGTGGCATGGTAGACTATGTCATGTTAATTTTAATTCTATGCATAGATTAATTAGCATGGACCATATTCCTAACTTTCAAATTGACACAAATAATAAGTGTGAAATTTGTGTTCAGGCAAAACTAACGAAAGTACCTTTCAAATCCGTTGAAAGGGAAACTGAACCACTAGAATTGATCCATAGTGATTTGTGCGATTTTAGATCGATACAAACGAGAGGTGGTAATAAGTATTTTATCACGTTTATCGACGATAGCACACGATACTGCTATGTGTATTTGCTTAAGAGCAAAGAAGAAGCCGTTGATAAATTCATTCTTTATAAGAATGAAGTGGAAAACCAACTTATCGGAGAATTAAGAAGGTTAGAAGCGACAGAGGTGGTGAGTACGAAGCATCGATTGGTGACTTCTGTGCAAGTGTAGGTATAATACACGAACATACGACACCTTACTCACCTCAATCGAACGGCGTTGCCGAACGAAAGCATCGTACATTGAAAGATATGATGAATGCAATGCTTATAAGTTCGGGCCTACTTCAAGATGCGTGGGTTGAGGCGATTTTGACAAGTAACTACCTTTTGAATAAGGTACCCCGCAAGAAGCTCGATAAGACTCCTTATGAGCTGTGGAACGGTAAGAAACCTTCTTACCAGTACCTGAAAGTGTGGGGGTGTCTTGCCAAAGTATTGGTGCCAACACCTAAGAAAGTAAAGATAGGTCCTAAGACGGTGGACTGTATCTTTATTGGCTATGCACATAATAGTAGTGCTTATCGGTTCTTAGTACACGAGTCCCATAATCCGGACGTACTTGAGAACACGATAATAGAATCAAGGAATGCATATTTCTTTGAAAATATATTTACTTGTAGGTCCAACGAGGGACCTAGTACGTCAAAACGAACGTTTGACGAAACTATGGATAATGATAGTGGGGAATCTGAGAAAGAACCCGAGCTCGAGCTGAGACACAGTAAGCGGGCGAGAGTTGGAAAATCATTCGGTCCTGATTTTCTAACGTACTTGTTAGAGTACGATTCGGGTACTCTAACTTGTTTATTAGAAAACGAACCCGATTTTCTATCTTGTTTGATAGAGAACGAGCCTCGAACGTATGTAGAAGCCGTGACTTCTACGGAAGGACGAATGTGGAAAGAGGCTATAAAAAGTGAAGTGGATTCTATCCTACAGAATCACACTTGGGAACTTATTGATCTTCCTCCGGGTAGTAAACCCTTAGGATCCAAGTGGGTATTTAAAAGGAAGATGAAACCTGATGGTTCCATCGAGAAGTATAAGGCTAGGCTTGTAATCAAGGGTTACAGGCATCGCGAGGGCCTCGAATACTTTGACATGTATTCTCCCGTGACGAGAATAAACCCCATAAGGATGATACTTGCCATAGCCACGCTGCGGAACTTGGAAGTTCATCAAATGGATGTGAAAACCGCTTTCCTAAATGGTGAATTAGATGAGGAAATCTATATGGAACAACCCGAAGGGTTCGTGGTTCCGGGCCAAGAAAGGAAAGTGCGTAAGTTGGTTAAATCGCTGTATGGTTTAAAACAAGCGCCTAAGCAGTGGCACGAGAAGTTTGACCATGCGATGTTAACTAATGGGTTTAAAATAAACGAAAGTGACAAATGTGTCTATGTTAAGGAAACGATAGACGGCTACGTCATTCTTTGTTTATATGTCGATTATATTCTCATCGTTGGTAGTAATGATCGGATGATCAAGTCTACCAAAAACATGTTAAATGCGAGATTTGACATGAAGGATATGGGTTTGGCTGATTTAATCCTCGGGATTAGAATAATTAGAAGACCTGATGGTCTCGTGTTGAGCCAATCACATTATATTGACAAAATCCTTGAGAAATTTAACAAGGATGATGGTCAAATGGCTAGAACACCGTTTGATACAAACATTCATCTAACCAAGAACCACGGAAAAGGTATTTCACAAGCGGAATATGCTCGGGTTATTGGTAGTTTGATGCATCTTATGAGTTGTACTAGGCCGGATATTGCCTTTGCGGTTAGTAAACTCAGTAGATATACGAGTAACCCCGGTGCCATGCACTAGAAGGCAATAGTAAAGGTTATGAGATACTTGAGGTATACTCGTGATCTTGGACTGCACTACGGGAGATATCCCGCTGTACTTGAAGGGTATAGCGACGCGAACTGGATATATGATATTAAGGACTCTAAGTCCACCAGTGGCTACGTGTTTACACTAGCCGGTGCAGCCGTTGCGTGGAAATCCTCTAAGCAAACTGTGATAGTTAGATCCACAATGGAATCTAAGCTGATAGCCTTGGACAAAGGTTGTGAAGAGGCTGAATGGCTACGCCATTTTATAGAGGATATTCCTAATTGGGAAAGACCGGTACCTCCAATATGTGTGCATTGCGATAGTAAAGCCACAATTGGGAGAGTACAGAGTCATATGTATAATGGTAAGTCTAGACACGTGCATCGTAGACATAATACCATTAGACAACTGCTCACAACTGGTGTTGTCTTGATTGACTACGTAAAGTCAAAAGACAATATAGTGGATCCGCTGACCAAAGGGTTAGGCAAAGAAGTTGTGGAGAAGTTGACACGAGGAATGGTTCTAATGCCCTTGGACTAAAAAGTTCTATAGTGGATACCCAACCTAGCTGGCACATCGGTTCAATGGGACAACTAAATTATGGAACGGAGCGCGTCACTGTGGGGGTCTCGGACTCCCTACCACTCCTCGTTAAAACAGTGACTCTCGCACGAGGCTAGCATGTTAATGCTTTAATGATTCTTGAGTATGCGGGATACTCGAGAAAGAATCACCTATGTGAAGTGAGGGTCGCTTCAAAGGAGAATTGATGGGCAACAATTCTTTAGAAACTCTCGCAGAACCAGGAACGGTGACCCACGACCAAAACGGGCACACTCGTGAGAACAAGAGCATGTGTTGGTCCCGATAGGGTGGTGAAAGTCTAGAGGGGGGGGGGGTGAATAGACTTTCAAGCTTTTTCAAACTAAATAACTCTTTGGTAACTTCAACTCTAAGTAACAAGTAAATAGAGTAAGTTAGATCTGCACAGCGGAATAATAGAATGTAAAGAGTTATGCCCAACCAATAATTTAAATGCGCATGTAAGATGGGTACAGATGATATATAAATGACAAAAATATCTTGAATATATAAAGGAGATGGTGCACTCAATATATAATAACAATATTCAAGATTGTAAATAAATATCGTGTCACGTCGAACGTGTGACGAATGTTACATGCAACACGTCAAACTTGCTTAGAATAAATCACTATTTAAGCTCGAGAAGTTTGAGTTACATGAATACGTGAAAACACACTAAACCCGAACGGTTAATATTAACTGTGAATAGTAAACGGGTTAGTCGGATAAGATAGATAGATAGAGCAAATTATGTAAGTGCGGTATGTAAATGAGAGAGACAATTTATAGTGGTTCGGAAGTGCCGTAATCTTCCTAGTCCACTTTACTCCATTCACTTCTAGGAGTAATTCATTATTTTCCACACACAGTTACAATAGTGAATAAGCGCTACACAAGCACTTCTTCCGGATGTTTTGCACACAGCTACACCCAACTCCGAGTGTCTCGCACACAGCTACACTCTACTTCGAGTATTTCGCACACAGCTATACTCAACGCCAACCAAGTGTCTTGCACACAGCTACACTTAGCAACTACGAGTGTTTTGCACACAGCTACACTCACTAGAGTATTTTGCACACAGCTATACTCTTTTTACAATTACAAATACAAAGGTAACTGTATCTCTCTCCAACTAATTTTGAGACTATTCAGATTAAGTCTCCTAGAATATTTGAGCACTTGCACTTTTGAATTTTGCACTTTTATTTCTATCTCTTGATCTATCTTGTTCACATCTTCTCGTATCTTTAAGTCTTCATGGCTTTTTATAGGCAATCAAATATATCCGTTGGAGTGGGATAATTTGATATTTTGAATTTTGAATCTTCATAGCCTGATATTGTTGACAATAGTAGATCTTCAATTTTGATTTGATTTGTCAACTTGCCTGACAAAATAATATTTTAACACAACTTGATTTTCTAGTTGTTTCTTAAAATATTACTTTAGTTGTCAATTTGAATATCCAACGAATCTTTGAAATAAATTCATCTGATAGAATTTATTTCTAGGATAAGTTTTTATATTCATGTCTTCATAAATATTTTTTTCCGTTCTGATCAAATATCTTCAGGCAATTTTGGATTCTTGTGGCATGTGGGCTGATCCAAAATAAATTCCTTCGAATTTATTCATATTCTGAACATCTTGCTTCTTTGCCACATTGTGCTCCTTTGACTTGAACATTGTGCTCCTTAGCATACATTGTGCTCCTTAGCACACATTGTGCTTGTCCAAAAACTTGACTTGTAAAAATAAATCCTTGGGGGGAATCGATCTTAGGTGTGATCGTTTTGAGTAAAGACTTCAACCATTTCGCCGTTAGGCTCATCCGGTTATTCCTTGCAACGCCATTCCTTTATGCTTCTTTCTCGGATGAATACTCGTAGGACCAAAATTAATTTCTCAAATTAATTTTGTTCTTCCTATGGTAGATTCCTTTTGATTCGATACTCTGATTTATGATGCTTGTACTAAAAGACTTAAAACTAAGGGGATCTAAAGTACATTTGGCTCATCAAAACTTACAAAAATATTCCTATCAGCATGGTTGGGAGATTCCTGTGTGAGATATGTCATCGTCTACACAAACGGCAGTAGGTTCAAAGACATCGCGTTCTACCGTACAGCCAATAGAGTAAACATGTCTTCACAAGGGAAGGTTCAAAGGGTATAGTGAATCCCTACCTATCCTATGCAGGGATCGACCGTTTGAACACAGTTGTTTCAGATTTCAAAATACCACGAAAATCAATTTTTCATTCATGTGGGGGATTGTTGGAAAAAATAGCTTAAAATGGCATAAAATGGCATGTTAAGTGGCTATTTTGTGGTACAATTATTAGTGGGGTCCATTTCTGATTTGGGTCGGGTCAAAGTGGATTCGGGTTCTTCGTAGTGAGACAAAGAGATTGATATATTGTACACTCAAAACGGATAATGGGTGAATGAGATATTGATTCTCAAAGTAGACCCATTTGAGTTGGAAAATGAAGGGAAAAGTGAGCTTTGTCCCACATTGGTTTGGAAAGAGGATTTGCCCCCTTTATATACAAGAGCTCTTTTAGAGCTTGTAGAATTGTATAGCATAGAGGCTCTCTCGTGTGGGGGGGGGGGGGGTGCAAATCAAATTTCAACAAGAAACGAGATCGGAAGGCTTGATTCAAGCCCGAGCTCGTGTGCGCCGGCACCTGCGGGGACGAATGTCGTCTGGAAATTGGTTGGCCTTGCGGGCTAAGACTGTATAAGGGCCATGGCCGAAACTTCCATGTTTCGGCCAGCACGAACCTGTCCATTTTGTGACCGTTGGGTGTTCAATTCTACTATTACGGAATTAATTCTTTGAATTAATTCCAATTTTTAATCTTTGAATTGAAATGAAACCCATGTTAATGGTTGCTGTTACAAGAAGGTTAAGGGGTGCCCTTAAGTGCCTAATTAAAAGCTATTTAAATCCTCCACCCCTATATAAGAAGGAGTTGGGAAGTAGAGATTAACACACTTGAAGAAACTGTCTTTTTGCCTCAAAAACTCTCTGCTTCTACTCTTTCTTTGCCTACTGTGTTCATAGCCTTGTCTTGTTCGCTGGATTCATTTGTTTGGGTGCTCAAACATTGAATCACAAGCAAGTTTTATCTTGGGAAGCCTAGGCCACACCGCTCCTAGCACTTTTGGGAGGTGGCAAATAAGGTTTTAAGGAAAGAGTGATCGCTTGACTCCTGCAAAAGCCCAACACCAAACACTAGCCAAATTCTCCATCTTTCCTTCCCCTATTTTTCCAGAAAAATAATAATCTTATTTTATTTGATTATTATTTGCGTCGGCAAATCAAATTCCAACTAGAAACGAGATCGGAAGGCTTGATTCAAGCCCGAGCTCGTGTGCGCCGGCACCTGCGGACACGAATGTCGTCCGGAAATTGGCTGGCCTTGCGGGCTAAGATTTTCCAACACACGCCACTGGATGTGGCCGAGACTGTATAAGGGCCATGGCCGAAACTTCCATGTTTCGGCCTAGTGGTCGAAACTGGAAGTTTCGGCCAGCACGAACCTGTCCGTTTTGTGACCGTTGGGTGTTCAATTCTACTGTTACGGAATTAATTCTTTGAATTAATTCCAATTTTTAATCTTTGAATTGAAACACATGTTAATGGTTGCTGTTACACAGGAAGGTTAAGGGGTGCCCTTAAGTGCCTAATTAAAAGCTATTTAAATCCTCCACCCCTATATAAGAAGGAGTTGGGCAGTAGAGATTAACACACTTGAAGAAACTGTCTTTTTGCCTCAAAAACTCTCCGCTTCTACTCTTTCTTTGCCTACTGTGTTCATAGCCTTGTCTTGTTCGCTGGATTCATTTGTTTGGGTGCTCAAACATTGAATCACAAGCAAGTTTTATCTTGGGGAGCCTATGCCACACCACTCCTAGCACTTTTGGGAGGTGGCAAATAAGGTTTTAAGGAAAGAGTGATCGCTTGACTCTTGCAAAAACCCAACACCAAACACTAGCCAAATTCTCCATCTTTCCTTCTCCTATTTTTCCAGAAAAATAATAATCTTATTTTATTTTATTATTATTTGTTTTCTACCAACGGATCCAACATATATACTTAGATGCCACTTATTGGAAAAGACACGCAATAAACAGATCCATACTTCATTTGTTGTAAGGTAGTGTATATTGAAAGGGTTTTGGGTGGAGATTGAGTGAAACTTCCAGATTGGAATACATGAGATATGCGATGCATGAACAAGAAATGGATAACGATGTTTGGAGTGAGAGAGAGGCCACCGTCCCAGAATCGTATTTTGAGCCAAAATGTCTTCTTAGTTATAATATGCCACTGGGATTAATAGTAATAAAAGTTTGCCAAAAAAAAAAAGAGTAATTTTTTGAAAAAAAAAAAGTAATAAAAAATATGAATAAACAAAATGTCTTCTTAATTATAAGATTATTAGTATACGTACACCTATTAGTATGACTATATTGTTGTAGAATATAGTAAGTTACTATTCCTAATTGCTCTCTTTGCACATGGTAATCAATGTTAATTTTTTTTTTTTTACATAAATCGATACATTTCATTGGTGAAATTTTGATGGTTTAATTCGAATATGTTAGAGATATAAATACCCAAATCTTCATATGTAATTAAAATAACGTTTCAATTAGTTTTAATCATCTAAACAAATTCAACTTATAGATAAATGTGCAAACGTTTATCCCGAAGCGAAAACACTTATCTGTTAGCATATATTGTTTGTTTTTCCATAGAATGAAAACTTAAGATCATACCACAAAAATCGCATTAATGGCTCCAACAGTATCATAGGGTCTCAACATTCAGGAAGATACGTTTATGGTGTATTTTACAGTTCGGTACAATCCCCATTGAGCATTATAACTCATAGTAATTATGCATTTATGGTTGTATTGTAAAACTACCACTAAGGTCGACTAATAGGTTAATTAAATATTAATATGCCAAATTCCTTAAAAAATATAGGTTTGTACATGGTCAGTTTTACGTTGTTGCGTCAATAGTTAACAATTTGTGCATCGCACGAGGATGAAACCCACATTACTTCAACTACAAATGTTGTGTACTACGAAGTATTTAATAATTTGTAATTTATTATAATAGAGTGTGTTAACTTAAATTTCTGTAAAATAGATTTATTTTAGTTCACAGTGTATAAGTTATTTTTAATGTGTGATATTAAAAATTTTATTTTTATATGGTCGAGTATATGTAGTATAATATTTAATACATTGATATCAATGTTGATAGGATTCAAGGCTCAGATTCGGACAGAGTTAGAGAGATTTTGAGAACATATGATAGAATGCGAAGAGTCGGCTATAGGTTATGTTTTTATATCCTCAATGATGTGTTGGGTTGTTGGGCTTCTGATTAGGTTATGTTTTGGGCCTTCATTTTGGGGTTTAGGGTTTAAGGATTAGGGTAACAATTGTTACCTATTTGGGATGCGATGTGGCAACATTTGTTTGAGGATGCGCAATTTCAACTACGTCAACAGTTACAAAATACATGTACACATTATTTCATAACATTGTGTTGTTACATTGTGTTTATAAATTCAATCTAAGTAAAAACAATAAAATTAAATAATAATTTTTGCTAAAAAATATTGCAAATTTAGTGATGAATGACTCTCAGAAGATGAACTTTGCCTTAGTTGAGATTGAAAAGATGTTATCAGTAATTGGAAAGAGTTTGAGGGACTTTTCAAAAATGGCAATTTCAAATTTTGAGAGCTATAGTGAATATCAAATAGGTTGATACAAGAGGAATTGACATATGATTGTGATGCTCAGAAACACGAGAATGAAGTATTGGTTAGTCAATTAACATAAGAACAAAAGGTCATATACGATGAGGTGTTAGGAGATACTGAAAGCAAATATGGAGGGTTAGTCTTTGTTTATGGGTATGGAGGTACTGGTAAGACCTTTTTGTGGGGAACATTGTCTTCAGCTTTAAGGTCTAAGGGTGAAATTGTTTTAAATGTTGTGTCTAGCGGCATAGCTTCTCTGTTATTACCAGGTGTAAGGACTGCCCATTCTCGATTTTTCATACCTATCTCTGTTAATGAAGATTCAACTTGCAACATAAGTCAGGGTAGTCCATTGGCGGAGCTTATTGTGCAAAGCAAGTTGACCTTTGGTGGTAAAACAGTTGTTTTTTGTGGCGATTTCAGACAAATTTTACCACTAATTTCAAAGGGCACACGGCAAGATATTGTTAGGGCAAGCATAAATTCCTCCTATCTTTGGAGATCCTGTAAAGTATTTAGGCTAACTAAGAATCTGCACCTTAGAAGTGTACAATCAGAGTTTGAGGCTAAAGAGATTGAAGAGTTTGCAAAATGGGTAGCTAATATAGGTGATTGAGTAGTTGGTAATTCAACTGATGGTGAAGCAGATACTACAATTCCAAATCACTTATTGCTCAAGTGTGACGATGATCCTATTTTTGCAATTGTTGATAGCACCTTCCCTTTGTTTCGACGCGGTATAAGTGATCTGTCCCGTCTTAAAAATAGTGTTACTTTGGCTACAACATTAGATGTGGTAGATAGCATTAATCAATACATGAATTATCATAATCGGGCTGAAGGTATAACTTATTTGACTTGTGATTCTGTTTGTAAGTCCAATTCAAATGTAGATATGTTAGCGAATTTGCACACCCCAGAATTCTTGAATGGTTTGTGATGCCCTGGAGTACCGAATCATGCTTTGATTTTGAAAATTGGATCACCTGTTATGCTTTTGAGAAATATTGATCATACTCTAGGACTGTGTAATGGTACGAGGTTATTGTTACAAGGCTGGTTGATCACGTGTTGGAAGCCCAAATCATGTGTGGTACGAATGCAGGAACAAAGGTAGGTCTTAATTCCCAGAATGTCACTAACATCGTCAGATCCAAGATTGTCTGCACAAATTCCAACGATAGTAATTTCTTTTGATGTTATCTTATGACATGACAATAAACAAAAGCCAAAGGCAAACACTCTCAAAAGTGGGATTGTTTTTGAAAATGCATATCTTTAACCATGGACAAATGTACGTAGTTGTTTCAAGGGTTAGTAACCCAAGGGGTTTAAAATTTTTTATTTGTGTAAAAAATGTAACATGTCTAAGTATAACGAAAAATATTGTGTATAAAGAAGTCTTCAACAATGTGTAATAAAATTACACAAACTTTATAATTTCAAATTACATATTTTTCCATCTGATTATATTATACTGTATATTCTATATACTATATATATAGTCGTGCATCACACGAGTGCAACTACTAGTTAAAGTACTATAGTAAACCCTTCTATATATTAAAGTCATATAGCCAATAGTCATGGTCAATCAAATTGTTGTATTTTCCCGCCCAATCCATATAAAACTACATAGTTTTGAACATTAGGTTGTTAAACTTCAATTTTTTTTCATTTATTTCGTGGTTTTTTTTTCTGATTTTCCTGGCAACAAAATACGGAGTAATTATTTAAACTTCAATTTTCAAATCTAATTTAGTGTTTCAAGAAAAGTAAACAGTTGTTTTTCATTTTTCAATGCTTAATAATTGATAAAGTAATTAATAAGTATCAATTACCAATGTTGTTTACTCTTACAAGTTACAATACAACTATACAAGCCATCATGCTAAAAATAATGATCACATTTTTTGAATCTAAATTCTGGTGGAAAATTGCCTATAAATACATGTTTTGAGGTGAAATCCACATTTCCATTGAAAGCACCAGGAGAGAAAAAGATCAAGAAACAAAGGTGGTAACTCATTATTTCTCTTTATTATCATTTCTATATTTATGCAAATGAAGTGGACTGGGAGAGGCAAAACTGATAGGAACCCTTCTTTAAAGGTTTCAAGAGCATATACAATACTGTTAGAAACCCTTTTGAAGAAGGTTTCAAACTCCATTGAGACCTGAAATCATCAAAAGAGTATGGTCAGAACTACTACAATAGGAGGCAAGAGGAAAGCAAAATAATCAAAGTCAGGTATTTATTTTAGTTTTGAGTTAATACCCAAAATCGTCATCGACTATAGTGGTTTTTCTCAATTTCGTCCTAAACGACTTTGGTGACCTAATACCGTCCCAGACTTTTGTGTTTCGCTCAATTTAGTCCCAGACTTTTGTGTTTTTGCTCAATTTAGTCCCTCATTTGTTATTCTGTCCATTTGGTGTTAAATAAATAGACAATTCAGTAATTTTAATATTGGCATCTCTTTACTCATAGACATGTGAACTGCGAAATCCCCTTTTTTTTTTACGAATTACTCCCAGAATTACTCCTAAAACTGCGAATATAAAATTTGATTTGCAGGTCCGGGAGTAATTCTGGGTGTAAGTCGTACAAGAAAGAAGAATTTCCCACTTCACAAGTTGAAAGTAAAGAGAGATCAATATTGACATTACTGAATTGTCCCTTTATTTAACACCAATTTGACAAATAACAAATGGAGGACTAAATTGAGCGAAACACAAAAGTCTGGGACGATATTAGGTCACCAAAGTCGTTTAGGACGAAATTGAGAAAAACCACTATAGTCGAGGACGATTTTGGGTATTAACTCTTTTAGTTTTCTATGAGATTGTATTGCACAAGGTAGAAAAAAAAAACTTGGTGTAATGACAAATACTAGGTCTTTGATGGAATTTAGATTTTTAACTTGGTGTATTTGACTAAAATACTAGGTCTTTGATGGAATTTAGATTTTCTCATAGCATGTACATGCTACTTTCTATATACTCAGGTCTTATCTGCAATTTCTGCTTCTACTAACATTGTTCAAAAGAGTCCATAGCAAATATGTTTACCTCTTTTTCTCTTGATACCCAGCAGCATCAGTTCTTCGTACATCAAGTTCATGCTTCAGAGTAGCTAATCAAATTTTCGGTAGCATTTTCTTCCTCACAAGTTGCAACAGTATGTTAAACACCAAGGTCAAATTTTCTGGAAAACAAATTTTAAATTTAAACAAAAGGGTCAAATTTTCAAGAACGGTAGAAGTCCTATATTTCTTCCTAAAAAAACCAACAATTAGGTCCCTAAACTAACCAAATTCATGCAATTCTTTCAATTTGCAGGTTTCCAACAGGTTATATTGTCTTTTTTGTGCACTATTTTTTTGTGCACTATTTTTTAATTAAATATCAAAGTTATAATACAAAATAATGCTATATATTTATTTACCAAGTATTTTATTAATACCATGAAAAAATTAAAAAATTATAATTAATAAAGCCAATCATATTAACTACTTGAGGAATTTGTTGACAAAGTGAGTATTCAAATCACATAACAAATTGAAGTGAGAATTACCTCGCAATGTCATTGTTTGACAATCAGCAGTTAGCGGTTAGCGTTAGCGGATTTGACCAACGAATTATATCAACGGTTTGGTAAAAAGATATTTGAAAAAATTAGCTGTTTAGATTAATATGTAAAATGACCTAAGGGTATACATATATTTAATAATAATAATAATAATAATAATAATAATAATAATAATAATAATAATAATAATAATAATAATAATTGTTTTAAAATAATAAAAAATATAAGAGAAAACGGTCAAATAGGCCCTCAAACTTTTCATAAGAAGTTAATTAAGCCCTCCAACTTTTCAAAGTGGCAATTAGACACACGAACTTTTAATTCCTGTGCAATGAGGCCCATTGACCGGGTAACCACCGATAACACCGCCACCCGGTAAAATGCTCTATAGACGCTGACTAGGCACCATCTTTATACATTTAGCATGCCACTCATCAAAAATTAAATTAAAAAAAACAAAATATTAAATTAAATATAAAAATTAAAAATATGAAATACAAAAATAGTAATGGGGAAATTAATTTTGCTATTCAGATTGAAGGAAGAGAACGAAACTCCATAACCCTAAGACCCTAATCTTACCATCAAAATCAATTCTCCCTTCAATCTCCAACTTCATTCACCCAAAATTGAAATTTACGAAGGAACATTGCATGCTAACAACAAGATGAATGCTATTGTTGTTGACTGGAGCTTTGAAATTTACGAAGGAACATTGCATGCTAACAACAAGACGAAGGCTATTGTTGTTGACAGGAGCTTGAAGACGAAGTTATTGGCAGTAAAGAAGTAGGAGACAACAAGACGAAGGCTATTGTTGTTGACTGGAGCTTGAAGACGAAGTAGGAGAAGTCGGACGAGTTTGTAGTAGGCTATTGTTGTTGACTGAGGCTCGAACTCACAATCTTCCAAATGGAAGTCCAACCCGGGTACCATTAGACCACATAGTCTTGGTAATAAACCTAACCCTTATTCAACTGAAGATTTTCATATTAGCAAAGCAAAAATGTATAGTGGGTTTTGTATATTTGAAGGCAAAGATATGAGTTTTGTATATTTGAAGGCAAAAATATGGATTTTGTATATTTGCAGGCATAGATATGAGTATTTGTATTTTAAATAGTTTTGGCAATGGATTTTTTTTTTGACTTGGTGTGAATTTGAATTGCTTTGTGATATGGATCCCCTACAATGTAGTTAATAATTGAGACAAACTTGGGTAGGTGTAGTCCTGCGTTTTTCTTTAGTGTTTCGCAGTTGATTTTTTTGACTTGTTGTGGTCCCCTTACACATGGTGTTTGTTTTAGGTATAATGTATATATTAACTATATAGAGTACTTAAATGTATACAATGACCTACACTGTATTGAAATATAAGCATTTTAAATCTAGGATTTGTATTGCTTAAATCTATATAGGTCTTTGTATTCTTTGTATTGCTTAAATCGGGATATATTTTAAATCTGGGATTTGTATTGCTTAAATCTATATAGGTTTTTGTATTGCTTTAATTTACATAGGTCTATGTATTGCTTAAATATAGGTCTTTGTTTGTTTGTTTGTTTTTTTAGGATGCATTCCACTGTATGTATAAGAATTCATCATGGTGGCAGTTTTTTCCAACACCCTGTTATGAATTATGTAAATGGTGAGGTTGAAGAGGTTATAATGGACCCAGATTATTTATCGTATCCTCATTTGCTGAAATATATTAAAGAGAACAGGTATGGTCAAATTCAATCTCTGTCGTATAAATTACCTTGTGAGCGTATGGAAAACCTACATATGCTCAATAACGAAAGAAGTACACTTGACCTTATTCATTTTGCGTGTTTGTGTGGTCAAGTTGATTTATTTGTTGAGCATGGTATAGACGATGCAGAGGTAGTTCCAGAGTTAGCATTACCCACACCTGTAAATGAGGTAGTTCGAGATGGTGCTGTGTTAGAAGCTGAATATGATCTTGGGGTTGTTACACAACCAGAGAGTGAACATGCTCCAACTGAAAAGCATGGTGATGAAGA